AATCTATTGCTAGTAGGAAATCCCATAGGCCATCTTTGTGGGCCTAATCCTAGATGGCTATGAGTATACTCATCTTTGAGGGCCCACTCATAGCAAAGGAGTGTTTCTTAAACTTAAGTTTTTTTTAAAAGCTGTTGCACTACAGTGTTTATCGAGCAAAATTTATGGAGCAGTCTCGACACTCTCTTGATCATCTTAGCCACCCCATGATGGGCAATGGACAAAAAAAATAATCAAGCATGCGAGGCGAGATGCATCCGGATAATGGCACTGTTCGCTTCTTTTATAATCCGTCTTTTTCAGCTTGATTTTTTCAACCGGAACAACAATGTTTCGACTTGTTTTTTAAGCAAAGCGAACTGGGCCACTACCACGTGGAGGTGGCCGCCGCATCGGCGTCGAGGTATCGGGCTTTCCAAGTCCGCTGTCCGCGGGACATGGTATCCCTGTCGGACGCAGATTCAGTAACGTAGCTTCTTCAAGTTAGGACGTAACTTTAGCTGCTGGTATCCACCGTAGACACCGTAGACTTTCCATCCAACGGCTGCCCAAACAAGTGCCAAAGACTTGGCCAATTTTTCAGCGGCGAAGGCACGCAGGAGCAGACTACGCAGTACTGAAACAAGAGTAGAAAGTGATTAAAAAAAAGGAACGTGTGTATGTAGCAAGAACAAAGACCTCTTTAAAATTCACAAAAAAAGACCTCTTTAAATCAGTTAGAGCTAGTTATTAGCTCTTGACACTTTTTATTTTATATAATAAATGTTGTAATTTTCACTACTACAGGAATCAATTTGCGTTACCTTTTTTGCCGCTTGACACTTTTTATTTTATATAATAAATGTTGTAAAAGGGTTTACCACTACTACTTGCCCGCGCAGAATCAATATTTACCATGGCGAGCATAATTTGCTACCTTTGTCATAATATGGTACTAACATTTCTATCCCAGCACCGAGATCACCTTTCCATCTATTTCCCGAATCGGATGATTTTGCATGGGAAGTTCATGATAACCAAGGCCCAACTCGTCGACGAGGAAAGGTGGGAGACAAGGAGGTTTCATCTACTGTACATACATGGAAGCGCAAAAGCGGCTGCATGGTTTTCTAGTCAAGAGGGTTTCCACTGCTTGCTAAGAACGATGTAGAACTCCCCGTGGACCACCATGTACATATCATCGCCCACTTGCCTTTATGAATTCACATATTAAGACTACTCAAGATATTATATATGCCATGATGGCTTGTCCTTGCAAAAGTTGATGGCCTATATATCCAAGGAACTAAAACTTGATGTTATCTATCTATCTTCAATGCATATTGCTCAAAGAATCATCATTGGTTACCACCTAGATGACAATCATCCAACCATGAAAGACTTGACCAAGCGACAGAGAGAGGCGCACCAGAAGAAACTGATGGACAATGAGAAGTTGAATATTTCAAGGTATATACTAGGAGCAATGAAGAAGATCACGAGAAATGGGTGTATCCTAGCTGTCTACCACTTTGGGTAAGTCGAAGACATGCCTGTAGAGATAAGTAGGTAGCTAGCTAGTATTATTATTTCTCGTCGTAACCTGTATTTTGTTTCAATGGCGCAGCCAAGGCCTCGAGGGTCACTAGGTTGCATTTATCATCTACCCTCAGGATGGTAGGGCCTGCGTATTTGATTCGTTGACAGTGCCAAACTTAAAAGGGTACAAGGCCTTTGAAGATTGCCTCAGAGTATAAGTGATTGAACTGTCTTCTCATATGCGTTCTAATGCCCTGCCTAATACTAGTATATTTCATATAGCGCTTATAAGGAGTACGTGAAGGATCATGAATGCTATGATCGAAGAACAGAGAATTTTAAGGTTAAGCATAAAAACCGCATCAAAATCAGACGCAACTTTCCGGTAAGTATTTGAAAGGTTTAATTGTGCTCTCCGTTCATATGCGTTCTAATGCCTGTGTTGTAATGCTTGTGTATCGATCATGCAGTGTGCCAAACAACTAGTAGGATCACAAACCTGTGGCTTCTACGTCTGTGAGTTTCTGAGGGTGTGCAAGCAGTACAGCAGCAGTTGGAGGGTGCTCAAGAATGGATTGAACTGGTCGAGAGACGTGCAGAGCACCCAACACAGCTTCAAGCAAACAAAGGCGGACATATGTAAGTTTGTCTTAGACAAATGCGTGCTTGAAGGGGGCACGTTCTTCAATGAGAACAGCCCGCTAGCGATTTTACCAGAGTACGAGAGGCTGAGGAAATGGCCCACGATGATGCGTCCGTAGGATTACACCTTAGCGCATGTATAACGACTTTAATATGTAAATGTAATGAATTAACGATGACAAGAACGACTAAGTGAATATATATATATATATATTGTATATTATCTCGTGTGTAATGTCTGCATACTTTTTAAGTTTAATCTGTGAAATCTAGATATGATTTGAATTTGAATTTATATGCTTGCTGTATTTTTTTAATTTAGGAAATAATTTACCGAGGTGGGCAAATAATAAAGCCCGACACGGCTAATGAACATAACTGCGGCGGGCCACAAAAGGTGTCCGCCGCGGTAAAATAATTTACCGCGGCGGGCGGTGTAATGTGCCCGCCGTGGTAAAAGTATATTTACCGCAGCGGTCACGTTACACAGCCCGCCACGGTAAATCGGTTAACCGCGACGGGCAAAGCTGCCCGCCGCAGTTAAGCCACGATTTACCATGGCCTCTAGGCCGCGGCAGACGGCTTTGCCCGCCGCAGGAAACCAAAAACGCCCACCTCCAATAAAGTTTGTGTAGTAGTGTTTTTATGAGATCTACAACTTTATAATTTTAAGTTTCATAAGTTTCAACAATACATTAATCGCGTACCACATGGAAATCACCGTGCAGCGTGACCGATCTTACCACGCGAACACATATGGTGTGACAGTGTAATTTTGACGAGCCTGCCTGGCATGACTAAAAGGGTTAGAAATAAAAGTAAAAATAAGTGGAGTTATTTTTAAAATATGATAATTTTATTATTTTTAATCTTTTTAAAAATCTTATTTAAAAAATAACCTTATCTATTTTTATTTTATTTCTAACTCTTTTGGCCACACCAACACGTTTGGTGCCACAAAAATCACGCTGTCGCCCACACACGTTGAAGTGGTAAAATCTATCACGTGAGACGACGATTTCCATGCGGTACATGATTAATATGATAGTGAAAAATTATATTATATTTTTGAGCGTCTTAACGATATCAAATGAAAAAAGGTAAAATTAAAACATTGTAGATCTCATTGAGAGCTAGAATTTTTATATAAAAAGTATCTTTGTTTGATAGCATACAAGAAATATATGATTTTTGTGAGGTAGGAAGCTCTAGTACGCGATTAATATATGGTTGAAACTATATGTTATTTTTAGTGCATCCTAATGATCTCAAATAAAAAAAAACTAAAACTATAAAGTTGTAGATCTCATAAAAAACTAAAACTTTTTATATAAAAAGTAGGTCTCACCTGGCCTCACTGCTGAAAAAATGGCTAATAACTAGCTCTAACTAATTTAAATAGATCTTTGTTCTTGCTACATAGTACACACGTTCCTATTTTTAATCACTTGCTACTTTTGTTCAGTACTGCACATTCTGCTCCCGCCTGGCTTCACTGCTGAAAAAAGTCACTGAATCTGCGTCCATCCCATGTCGCCCCCGCGCTTCAACTTTCACTGCTCACGTTAACGCCAATGTTTTTTCGAAAACCACGTTAACGCCAACGTGGCTAAAAAACTGGCATGTTAACGCTTGGCACTGAAACGCCATTTGGTAAGCCCATTTCCTTGATACTACATGCTTGGAAAGTTCGCAGCCCATGGCCCATGGCCAACACCGAACTGCTCGGGATGCACAATGAAATCTTCAAAACATCACATGGCGAGCCTCAAATCGCATGGCGACCTTGTTGCAGATTGAGATGACACTCAAGTACTTCGAGGGCCGTGGCCCATGGCCCATGACCACAGCGGACATGCTATCGCCATAGCCTGCCTGTCGCTTTCACGGTTTTGTGGCCTTTTGTAAAGAGAGAAGATATGGATATTTTCACAATATATACTCCTAAGACTTTTTATATCTTTTATAATTTACAGAAATATAGATTTTGATGAAAAAAAAACCTTCAACAGCATATAGAAAAATCAGAGAATACAAATATATGGGATATGAAAAACAATTTTTACTCAAATGATTCTCTAAATAATGATTTAGAGAATAGATTTTGAGTTTTACTCAAATGCAGTTGCATGTTATTTTGTTTTCTTGTCAGTTAAATTTCACAGAATATCACATGTATACTGTTGGAACATCACAAAATGCATCACAGAACATTTAAAAATACATCATAGAACCTCACATGTATTTTAGCAGCTGCCTGAGAACATCACAGAACATTAAAATACATCACCTAACACAACGGAACATCATATGTGTATCACTTGAACATCGATATGTATACTACGTAAACATCACGACATTATAGAACAACATGTACTACGTGAATATTATATATATATATATATATATATGTATATATATATGTATATACACACACACAAAATAAGGTATTCTGTAGCCACCTCCATTTACGATAATTTTATATACTAATTTACGATAATGTCAATACATATTTACGATAGTTGGGTTACTATAACACATGTGGATATTTACCATAACGTTATAGTAAACCACTTAGTAAGGAATTATTATAATCTCGTAAATTAACATAGTAATTATCGTAACTCAAAGTGGCTACAGAATAAGTTATTTTGTAGCCAGCTACATGGTAATAGTTCTATATAACGTGAACATCACAAAATATATCACAGAACATGACTGATGGTTAAGCAAAGCAAACCATCAGTTACCCTGAGACACACCCATAGATTTTTGGAAGACTACGGAGATGCTCTTACAGTATATTCTTTTCATCTAAAATATCTGTTTTGTATAGTGATTTAAGCATCTTCGTCGCCTCCAGCTTTGTTCCCGGTTTGCCGCCGGCCAGAGCCCCAACGGCCGACTAGTGCTCGGTAGTCCACGTCCCTGAGGCGCAGCAGCAGGTACAAAACAATCCCGGAGATGAACCCCAGCGCGGCGCTCGAGCCCGTGAGCGAGACGCCGGCGCAGATAAGCATGACGAAGGACTCCTCCTTGGTACCCATGTCGCGCGACGCCATGGCGAGCTCGATCCCGGAGAAGAGCAGCATGACGCCCAGTATCCCGATCGGGAACTGGCCGAGGATCGTCACGAACGAGTTCCCGAACACGAGCCCCAGCGCCAGCTTGCCGATGGCCAGGAACACCACGGACGCGCCGCTCCGGCCGCCGAACCGGTACTGCCCCGCCAGCCCGCCCGCGCCGTGGCAGCACGGCATGGCGCCGAACCAGCAGCCGACGAAGTTCATGAGGCCGACGCTCACCGACACCCGCGCCGGGGAGAGCTCGGCCCGTTCGGGGAACAAATCCGACGAGAGTTTGCACACCGCGATCACCGAGTTGAGCACGGACAGCGGGAGCTGCGGCACGGCACCTTCCCAGAACCCGACCTTGAAATCGTCCCAGGTGATCCTGACGAGCCGCAGAGGCGCCGGCCCGAAGCGAAGGCCTTGCAGAATCGACGGGTCACGCACGAAGCAGAGCACGAGCCCGAGCGCGAACACGATGAGCGCCGCCGGGACGCGGCTGCAGGAGCGGCGGCGGCGACGGACCACCGTGCCGTCGCTGGCGACGGCGTCCTCCTCGTCGTCGCCGGAGCCGGTGGCGAGGATGATGAAGAGCAGCGCGGCGAGCGCGAGGACGAGGCCGTCGAGGCCGAGGAGCGGGCGCGCCGCGGCGGTGGAGGCGGAGGAAGAGCGCGAGAAGTCCTGGACGTAGCGGACGTACTTGACGGCGGTGAAGGCGAAGGAGAGCCCCTGCGAGAGCTGGACGCCGCGCACGACGGGGAGCGGGAGGAGGCGGTAGATGCACGTCATGAGCCCCGTGGCGCCGAGGAACAGCAGGACGGCGGCGACCGCGAGCCCCGCGGCCATGATCTGCGGGACGGTGAGGTGCGCGGAGGAGAGCGCGACGGCGGCGATCGACTTCATGGGCTGCACCGGCATCGGGATGCCGAAGAGCAGGCCCGTGGCGAAGTTGTAGAGCGCCGTGAAGATGAGCGTCGTGCCGAGGTCCAGGTGGGACGCCAGCGACAGCGCCAGCACGATCGGGATGTAGGTGCCCAGGTCGCCCACCGCGCCGCCCAGCTCGGACCAGACGGAAGTGTTGAGGCGGATGCTTGAGGGCAGGAACCCGAGGAGGCGGCCGCTGCCCTCGCCTGGGAGGAGCGGGTCTGCGGCGGCGGACGCCATGGGTCGTTGCAACGACTTCCTTTCCTTGGGGATATTTCCCCTGCACGTCTCTGACCGGTGGTGGATGGTTGCGCTTTGCGCTACGGCTGAGCTCTACTCCTATAAAATACTGCGCGGCAGCTGTTTTCAAGAATTTAACACAAAGATGAGATCTTGATGCTCTTTCTTTAAAAAATACGATGATGGTGATATAGTTGGTCAGCACGTAGGAGTACGATGAAATTGGTGGACTTTTTGAGAGCTGAAATTGGTGATTTTAAATTGTAACAATGGCAAGTGAAGTGATACATATCAGAGCAGGTGGCGGTGCAGCCGTGAACTTTGAAGCGTCGTTCACTCTCCATGGGACTCCGAAACAATTTAGGAGTTTTTTCGCGATCGTGCCATTGCACTTTTTTTTTTGTTAAACAGAAGTAGAATTTATTACAACATAAGCTGACCAGCGATCGAGAAAACATCCGTAGCTGTGGTTTACATAGTAGTATTTTGCGACACACCAGCTGAGCAAAAGGCCAACCAAATCCAGGTTCATGGCTACCGGATCGAATTCGCCCCCAAACAACAGCTGCAGGGCCTCCTGCTTGGTCGACAAAGGGGCCGCAAAGGCCGCCCTAAACTTTTCAACGATCTCGGTGTCCGCAGCATTGGAGTCGACGACGATACCAAGCTTCTGCTTCAGAACATTCTGCTCCTGTAGCGTGGAGTTAGCCGCACGGGGTTTCCTAGCGATGCGTTCGTTGCTAAAGATGGCAGCGGGCGTGATGCCCGCAGATACTACCTTCTTATGCCCGCGCCCGCCAGCTAAATCTCTTGCCCGCGCCCACACCCGCGACCCGCCACGGGCAACAAACCACGCCCGCGCCCTCCATCTGCGGGCATGCCCGTGTGCCCGCCAGGTTGAGCATATACATAAATCATAGTGCATTACAAGAGATATAAAGATACATATTCACAACAAATCGTGTATATATACATATATTTGCTTGTATGTCCCACATGTTAGACCTCTGGAGCGGGTCTGGCGGATAAGCGGGCGAGGATAGCAAATTTCTTTGCCCGCGAAGAACTATCCTCTGGGTTCAGGATGGTGCCCGCGTTCGTGCCCGCGGGCAAGAAGTGGTGCCCGTATCCTTGCCCATCGGGTTCCATGCCCGCAGGCATGCGGGCATTCTGTGCCCGTTGCCATCTTTATTCGTTGCGCCTCAACGTGAAACCCGACCTCGACGTCTTGGACCTCCTGACCTTGGGGCCAGCACGGATGATGGGGGTCTATAGAGGGATGCAGATTCGCGACTCGATCTCTTCTTGAATCGAACTCGACTGCGCCGGTCTAGGAGGGGTGCAAAGCACGTTTCACGTGCTGCCGTCCTCGTTGTCGGATGTCGACTGGACGTCGCCAGGAGGGTTGTCGACCATGTCAGTGATCGTCACCGCAACATGGCCTGGTTCTGAAGCGGAGCAACGATCGAGGGACGGACCTTGGATTGTCGCCTCAACAATCATTGGATCCATCGTCGTGTCTACTGTCGTTGTCAGCTGCCTCGGCCGACTCCACAGCATGAGGTCCGCCTCGCCCTCAAGTCCAACTCTCTCGCACGACGAGCTAGAGTGACATCCTGCCGACACTTTCGCGTGCAAGCCCCCCGAGCCAAGCGCAAACCCTAGTCGCGCCCTCAGACACATGGAACTTCGAGGAAAGGTGTGCCTAGAACTCCGCCGGCGAGACGATAGGATGATTTCCACCAATGAGTGCGACTAGAACAAGGGAGAGGTCCGCTCCAGACGCGGCATCCACGTTCCTCTGGACGACGAAGACCTCGACCTTGGGACGGCTATCAGTGTCATCCCGAGGTGGTGATAGCGATAGGCTGCTGCTATGGTGCTGCAACGGCGACGATGATGGCGTGATCGACTGCTGCACACGACGAGGCGAGGACGGTGTCGGCGTCTGGTCTGGCACGGCGTGACATCCCGACGACAAGCTAGGTCGCCTTGGACCAGCGAGGCGACGTACCTTAATGGCACCCTGCCCAGGGCGACGCGCTGCCAAGGACAAAGGCTTGCACGCAGGTGAAGGCCCTCGCTTGCACGTCGGCGAACAAGCACGCTTGCACGCTCTGGGCCGATGGTCAGTACCCCGGCAGCGGAGGCAGCGGAACGGGGAGCGACACTGAGCGGCGATGTGGTAGTGCGTGAGGCAGTTGAAGCAGAGACCCACAAGCTCTGGCAGGACAGGGCGGTGGCGTTTGGGTGCCGTTCTCCCTGGACAGCGCCGGTGACGACGACTCTCGACAATCTGAAATCCATCGGCGTCGACGTTTGGGCCTTGATGGGGCTACCGAGGCATGTCAGGTACGGACGCCTTACGCCGTGGGTGCTTCTCGCCGCTGACTGCGAACCAAGGCGACGCTGTGCTGGCACTCCCACGCCGTTCAATGGTTGAGTCCTAGGGCCATTGGGCGCACTGGTCCTGCGTCGATGACGCCGCTTCCCCCTTGTAGGCACCAGATGGGAACCCCCACCGCGTCCGGAGCCCCTACCCGGCGGTGGAGGTGTGGCCTGGAGAGCCCTGCGAGCGGCGTCCAAGTACGACGGGTGTGTGGCAGAAGAAGCGAGTTCGTCGTTAGAGCTGCCCGCACGTGGGTCTTCCTCCCAACGCCGGAACTTACTCCTACCAGCTGACTAACGGGTGGGGAAGAAGGGAGGGGCATACGTGGAGAGGGGGACGGCGAGGAACTGCCCGAGCGTGCGACATCCTCCTCCTCGTCCTCGTCTTCCAGGACGTCCTCGACGACGACCGGCGTCTCGTCCACCATCCTTCCATCCGTGGAAGGCATCGGTAGGTCGGTGACAGATTTGGGCCCGGTAGGGGTGGCGCACGGCGGCGGCGGTGTCGCTGGCGTTGAGGGAGCCCACAGCGGCGCCCCAATGCCGGATCCCACACCAACAGAGGAGGCTCGGGAGGCTGGGTGGCCACTGGTGCCGGGGTGGCGACCGGCGGGCTGGGAGGGGAGCGGGCGAGGTGGGGGGAGCGGAGACGTTCCGAGGTGGCGGCGCAACCCGAGGAGGCGAGGTCTACTGGGGTGGACGTAGAGGGAGTTGGAGGAGAGTCGGACTTCGTGGGGGAAGCCGGATCTACAGACGTAGAGGTTGCTGGGGAGGAAAGAGAGGTGGAGGAAGGGGCCACAGGCGGCAAGCTGGCAGCTGCCGGCGGCAGCAGCGTGGGGTGGGGGGAGCTGTCCGGGGCTGGCCACGGACGACCCTCGCGACCTGGGTTGCGGGAACCTGGAGCTCCGAGGCTTGGGCAGGAGTAGGGGTCTTGGACCCATCGGTGGAGAGCCTGGACGATGGGGGTGCCGGATCCGGGCTCAGAAGTGGCGGGGCTAGGGTGGATGGAGCGGATCTAGGAGAAGGATTGGAGTTGGGGAGGAGGAGGCTCGGGGGGATGACGAAGGGGAGGAGCAGGTCTCCCATCGTACAGCTAAAAAAAGAAAAAAAAAGTCTACTTAACCCCTACCTTTCATACTTGATCTACTTTACCCCAACTATGAAACGGTCTGTTTTACCCCTGAACTTTCTAAAACCGTCTATTTTACCCCCTGGCCGGGTTTCAGCGGCGGTTTTGCTACAGTAACAGCGGGTTGCTATATTAACGGTGTTTTGCTACTGTAGCAAACCGCCGCTGAAAACCTCCCCGGGGCTAAAATAGACGGTTTTAGAAAGTTCAGGTGATAAAACAGACGGTTTCATAGTTGGGGGTGAGGTAGACCAGGTATAAAAGGTAGGGGGTTAAGTAGACTTTTTCCGCTAAAAAAATGTGAGCAAACTGTTTGGTTGATGATTTTTTTTCAGCTAATAAGCAGGATGCGACTGATAAGCGAATAGGGCGGAGATCTTTGTGAATGACTTTTTGGATGGTGTAGGGTCGGGCAAACTTTCTTCTGTTCCTTTTGGACCCATGCTGTACCTACGATTTGATGCTGTGCGCCAATGTACCTTGTGGCATGGAGACTGCTTCATCATCGTTTTGTTTGGATCCAAGGACACCAATGGGCAATGGCTGAAACGTGGACGTGTCAAGCGGCTTTTCAAGCCGCCAGGGGCTCAAGTTAACGCTGCGTGGTCACTTAGGTGCTTATGTCACGTGTTGAGTGCGTGATAGCATGAGTTGCGTAGTCACCGCATAGTCGCATATTGCATACACCATTTGGAATCGAGTTATCGACGTTGACTTGGTGGCACTAAAACCTCCAGGAGCCGTAGCAGGTTGGTGTATCCTTCTTCTCTTGGTTTGGGTCTCTTCTCCGCGGTACCTTTCTATCGTGTCGATATCATTGTCGCATATGCAGTGATCGTGATGGAATTTACTCGCCGGCTTTACCATTTGGATTGCTCCCCCACTGGATGTTCATACTTGTGGCAGTGTTTCCTCCGTTCATAAACACTTTATAAGTGTCTATAGGACACCAAGACAGATTAAGGAGAGGATAAATATACAATCATCTCTTAACTAGTATTCTCTCCGTCCCAAAATAAATGGTGTTTTAGGTTTATCTTAAATTAAATCTTTTGAAGTTTGACCAAAATTATACAAAAAAAAGTTACTATATTTATTACTTAGCTATTACTTAGACAAAATAGATGTTTAGAACAGATAAAGACCGATTAAACGGAAGCAACCGTTTAGGTGAATAGGGCTCTTAACCAAGCATCAAGATTACATTACATAAACACAATAATGCTTGCCTATTTAGGTCCAATTCAATAGATAGCTTTTATAGCATTAATTAGGATGCTAAGTAGATAAAATATTGATGTGACATTAGAATCTATATCTCTTATAAAGCTAAACCCACTATAATTTTTATTTCAACATGCAAGACATCTACATCATTTTCCACTATCTATCCACGTCACCTCCCACTAATAGTCATGTCATCCCACTACTTTTCAATCTCTTAATGCAAGCTGTTCACACCATCTTCACTAAGTGCAATTTAATTTCAATATATAATAAATATAGAGGGCATTCATATATTGCAATTTGTTTTGCCATTCCATTGTCTTATAATTTGATATAATTATGTTAGTTTTTTATTGGATTATTTCATTGTCTTGTCTAATTTTAGTAAGAATAGATCTAAGAACATATAGGTTTAATTCATATATATAATAATTTTATTTCTAAGAAAATTCCGCAGCAACATGCGGGGAATCCTTCTAGTTAAGGAGAAGAGAGAAGAAAATAATTTCTTATATAAAAAACTATGACTTAATTTGGGTTTGGATAAATTGAGAGTGGGTAACTTGCGGTCAACGGTATGGTGACCCGCTCTCTCTCTAGTCTCTAGTATCATCTTATCATTTGATTAACGTCTTTCATTTGCGGCATCAATGATCTAAGGGCGGTTTTGATCATAAACTATAAGACAATTTTCATACTTGTCATACAATACATGGAAACTATATTAAATGGATTTTTTTTCAAATTATTATTTGTTTTTATAAAATCATCTATCTTCTCTCCTATCACAACGTATGACAACTATTTCTATCTTGGTCAATGTGTAGACCAGATCTTCTTGCTAGAATATTTTGTTTGAGTGCTGCGTGAAAGTAAGAAGCCTGCTGCTGCCACGCTGTTATCCATTCGGCAATACGGTAAATGCTAAGAATTAAGAGAACAAATTATCTATGCATAATATTATTTCTCTAAAATTCAGTAAAGAGTTATATTTACTTATTTGTATCCTGAAGGATAAAGACTAGTATTCTCTAAAATTCAGTAAAGAGTTTTATTTACTTATTATATAGTATCCTGAAGGATCAAGACTAGTACCCAGATATCGTTAGCGTGTCCCGTCACTTCTGTAAAGTTCAGCAAGGTGTTATATTTGCTGATTAGTATCGTGATTCGTGAAGGACCAAAACAAATATTCAAACATTGTTAGTATCTCAGGCCTCTTTATAGTTACTCTTTTTTTTTTTCGACAGCCTCTTTATAGTTACTCGTATCACCTAATTTGTCTCGCATGAGCTCAAGTTGGATTAGACTCATTTTGTTTGGTTTCTTGTATTTGAACATCCTGACCGAGTAGATACATTGTTTGGTTATTCGAATAAGAATATGTTGTACTCCTATATGAGATATAATACAAAAGTAGTTATTATATTTATTATATATAAGTATGGTTTAGTAGTCTTATTTTTTTTTTCAAGCCTTACTTAGCTCTTAAATGCACTAACATCTCTTAATATATACTAATGTATCGTTAGCTAGGAGCGATCTCACATCCAGCGAGCTAGGCTCACAGAAGACGGAATGGAGCTCGTTTCTGGGGAGTTGGCTGAGGGAGCTCTTTTGCATCTCCCTGTGACACAGGTTCATGCCTTTGTACAGGATTAAGGATGTCTTGTACCGTGCCTGTTGAACGACACAACATATAGTTAGGCCTCTCTTTGGCAGGATTTCAACTTCAAAAGTGATGAAATGGCTCCGACTTCTTTGTTGTTTATTTGGCTCTAGCTTGACGAGCTGTTTTTCGGTGTGCACGTTCAACGTATGGCGATATGGTGTGCCGTCTATATAGGCAAACTTAGGATATGTTTGAATGCCATAGGCTAATTGCTAGTTAGTTATTTTTAGTTTAAATTAACTCTAGGGCATCCAAATCGGAGGGCTAACAAGTAGAGCTAATTTTTAGCTTAATCTTCTAACTTATTGTTATCCAACAAGCTAGCTAATCATACCTAATTTAATCTAACTTTTAGCATCGACTAATAACTGACTACATGTATTAAGGGTATGTTTGATCCTTCTAAACTTTAGAGCTCTAAAATCTTTAGAACACTTTAGCTGAGTTTTAAGGTCTAATGTTCTAATATGAGGTGGACTAAAGTTTATAGCTAATTTTAGACAATCTGTTTAGAACTTTAGCTCTAACGGTAATGCTAGGAATCAGACGTCCATCCGTGGCTTTGCACTGGACGCCCCTGTTGGTGGATCCAATGTCCAGAAGGCTATTTATCATATCCGTTCCTATCCGCTCCCCTTCAGTCACCGTAGATTAAAAAAACTCACGCATACCGTGATTGTGCTCCACCACGCCTCCCGCGACGCCTTCCTCTCCATTGCGCCTCCTTTGGCCTTTCTTTCCACCGCCGCCGCCCCTGCACAGCCAGTGTCGCTTTGTTGGTGCCACTTTGCCTCGAGAAGTCACACCCACCTAACTACTGTTGTTGGCTCCACCGCGAGCACCGCTCGCGGGGGCACCGCGTGTGCCCCTATCACCAGGGGCAACGCCGCTGCTCACCAGGGGTCATGCAGCCGCCCACCCATTGTCATCCTCCTTCTACACGGCGACCGCACAGCCGAATCTCGATGTGCAGTGCTCCGCCTGCCCGATTGCCAGGTTTTGCTAAAAGCGCATGTTGCAATTGTATGTTTCAAGTGTTTTAGATGTTTTCAGAGGTATGTTGCAAGTGTTTCAGATGGATGTTGTAAAAGTAGATCAAGATGTTGCATATGTTGAATGGTTGTACACATGTTGCAAAGGTCTGTTACTAGTGTGTATTCGGACGTACGTTGCTAGTGTGTTTATCTGGATGTTGCATATGTTTCACACATATGTTGTATGTGTTTTATCTAGATGTTGCGTATGTTTGTAAAGATTTTTAAGTGTTTTCAGGTGTATTTTTCAAGCGTTTCAGAAGCAAGTTGCAAGTGTGTGTTTCAAATATTTCAGTTGTTTTCATATATATGTTTCAAGTGTGTTATCTGCATGTTACATATGTTGATGTGGCTACACATATGTTGTAAGAATATGTTTCATCTGTTTTAGACGTATGTTGCAGCAAGTCCTTCATGCTTCAAGTGTTTCATGAGGCGCAGCAGCGACGAGTAGCAGCAGAGTGCGTGGCAAGCAACAGCAGGGCGAGCAGCAGGGGCATGCTTCGATGGGCGTCCGTAAGTGGGGGCAACCAGAAGGAGCGCGTGGGAGACAACCACCCGACGTGGGACCGAGGTAGAGGGGTGCTGGAGCGTTGCCATTTTCTACCGATCTGTTTTGGCCGTTGTCAGGCCTAGCTAACAGCCGAGTGAGCTGTTTAGCCGCACGTTCACGAGTGTGTAAGGACGAGTGCGCCACGTGGGCTGCACGAGTAAGCACATGCTGGGCTGAGCTGAGCGATGGGCGTGTTGCGGATGTCTGGACGCGCGCTTGTGTCCCAGAGTCCGGGCCCTGAACATGTCCTTCTATATATTTTATACTTGCGTGTGGCCTCCAAATCCCAACCGCTAAACGCGCAAACCCAACTCCGTCGAGAACCGAACGCCGGATGCGGGGCCATGCGTTACCTCTACTTCCGCCCCAACGCACGCCATGCCCGCCCTCAGCGCCACCCACTCCTCAGTCACCTCGATGCCTGGTCCTCGCGGGCCCACCTGGCGGAGCTCCACGCCCGCCTCGTCCGCGCCCACCTCGCTCCCGACTCCACCGTGGCGGGCCGGCTCGTCGCGCTCCTGGCGTCACAAGCGGTGGGCCACGACATGCGCTACGCTCGCAGGGTGTTCGACGGTATATCCCAACCTAACACGGCCGTCTGGAACTGCATGATCAGAGGGTACACCAACCACGGCGCGGCTTCGGACGCGCTGGCGACGTTCAGGGCCATGCTTTCGAGAGGAGTCTCCCCTGACAGTTACACCATGGCCGCAGCTGTGTCTGCGAGCACCGCTTTTGTCAACTGGCAATGGCGAGCTACTGGAGACGCAGTCCATGCCATGGTTCGGAAGATTGGGTGTGCGTCAGATCTGTTCGTCATGTCAGGCCTTGTTAATCTATATGGAACTTTTAGAAGCGCCGAAGATGCAAGGAAGGTTTTTGTGGAAATGCATGAGAGGGATGTGGTGTCTTGGACGTCGATGATCTCAGCTTTTGCGCAATGTGGTATGTGGGATGATGCTTTGAGGTTTCTTGCTCAGATGCAGGCAGACGGGATTAATCCTAACAAAGTCACAATTATTAGCCTGCTTTCTGCTTGTGGGCACGGGCAGGCTGTTGACAAAGGCCGGTGGGTGTATGGTCAACTTAGTGAATATGGCATTGAGCCTGATGCGGATATAGGAAATTCAGTCATTAGCATGTATGCGAAATGTGGATGCATGTCTGATGCCCTGCAAGTATTTAGGGCTATGCCTGTGAGAAGTACTAAATCATGGAACATACTGATTGATGGATTTGTGCAAAATCAGAGGCATAAAGAATCACTAACAGTGTTTCAGGAGATGATATCAACTGGCATAACTCCAGATGCAGTAACACTTGTAAGTGTCTTATCAGCATGTGCTCAGCTTGGTGATCTCCAGCAAGCGAGGGATATCCATAATTACATAAAAGATCATGGGATCCATTGTGGTACCCTCCTTACAAATTCTTTGATTAACACATATGCCAAATGTGGCGATATGGCAGCAGCTAACGTGGCTTTCCAGACTATGAATCAAAGGGATGTTGTTTCATGGACAACTATGGTTTGTGGTTATGTGCATGGGCGTCAATTTACAGCAGCCTTCAAATTTTTTGAAGAGATGAAGATTGCAGAAATTGTAGCAAGTGAAATGGCACTGGTTAGTCTACTCTCTGCATGCTCACAGCTTGGGGCAATTGATAAAGGAAGGGAGATTCACTCTTATATAGAAGAGAAGAATGTGAGAAAAGATGTATGCCTTGAAAGTGCCCTAGTCGACATGTATGCAAAATGTGGCTGCATCGACATTGCTACTGAAATATTTAGTAAAATGCAGCATAAGCAAACCATCACATGGAATTCTATGATTGGAGGGTTTTCAAGCAATGGACACGGGAAACAAGCAGTTCAACTCTTCAACCAAATGCTAAAATTTGGACACCCCAAACCTGATGGCATTACTTTTAAGGCAGTTCTTGGTGCTTGTGCTCATGTAGGAATGGTTAATGAGGGGCTCCAGCACTTCTATTCCATGTTGAGCTTTGCAATTGTCCCTGATATCGAACACTATGGTTGCATAATAGACCTCCTAAGTAGAGCTGGGCTACTAGAAGAAGCATTTGAGTTCGTCAAGAAGATGCCAATAGAGCCTAATCCTGTAATTTGGGGATCACTTCTTTCAGCTTGTAGGTTTCATCACGAAATTGATTTAGCGAGGAGAATTGGGCAACACATAATTAAGTTAGCTCCTAATGATGTGGGGGCGCATGTGCTGATCTCAAATTTACATGCTGAAGGTGGTCAGTGGGATGATGTACAGGAAATAAGAGAGCAGATGGAAAGCAGGGGTATAGAGAAGTCTCCTGGCCATAGCTCCATCCAAGTAGAAACGCTCATAATATAGTTTAGCAGGAATATGATATCTGCCTGTAATACACGACTGACAGGAGCAATGCTAACCAGTGTAGTTTCTGATCTACTGGGCATGGGACCTCACATTTCAATTTCCATTGACCTGTGCACATGTGATTATTATTCTTGTATTATTTTGGGTTCAACACTGCGTAAAGCATTATTGCAGACACGTCTTTTAATAGCTGGATACTCGCACTCAACAATGTTGTGAGTTCAGCTGAATGTATCTGTGGTAGCATGACTTGGATAACCTTTACGTGCATAACTGAAGCTGTGACGAGAACAAAAGACATTCAATATGAAATTTAGAACATACCTGTTGTTCAGTTCCTAGATAATCAAGGGTTCTGAGTTTTTACTTAATGTATGTATTAGTAGTTTTCAATTCTCATCCTCTCTGTGTTTGAGTTATGCATATATTATTGAACAATCATGTTACTTTAATCCTTGTACAATTGATTTGTAAAGACTGTTCATTTCAGTTGCTCCAAATAAATTATCATTTGCATTTTCAACAATGGCACTGTTCAAGGCTTCAAGCAGTTCACATTCTTCCATTATCCAAGCTTACAAATCCAAATAAATGACTGCTGAAATTAGAGGCAGAGCTACAACCAGCACTCCTGTATTTTGAACTTCCAGAGTTGGCATTCTTCCATTTACCAAGCTGCACATTGAGGTAAGATATTTGCACGTATTTCATCAATCTCCAGATTTTTTATGTCGCTTATGAAGTGTGAGCATCCATTTTGGATATTGGATTCATTTTTCATATTGCTGGAAACGGTACTTAAGCTTTCAGGAGGGTGAAAGCTGAGATTAAAGGCAGAGCTAATCAAGAGGTATGGGTTAATGAACCTCACATCTTTCTGGCAAACATCTCTAAGGTTTAATAATTTGTGATGAAAGTAAAAAAGAACAGTAAATTTCACAAACCTACCAATATTTTGAGCTAACAATGACAAACAAATACTCTGTGCCCATTTCACAAAACAACAGCTTTATGATTATTCTTTTTTTAATGGCACTAGGCCACTAGGGCAGTGACATGTTCATGACCAGCTAGGCCCACGCGTCCAAGTGCCACTGACATGTGGGCCCGATTATTCATGAAAGAGAAATGGTCACAAAGTTGTTTTGTGAGAAGACAATCCAAAATAGTAGCAGGTTTGTGAAAAGGGCACAAAGTATGGTAGGTTTATCACTGTTAGCCCAAAATATTTGGAGGTACGTGGAATTTACTCTAAAAAGAATTTGGACTCAACTAAACATGCATGTTGAAGAAACAACATCCACAGAGATTTATAAGCTCTATTTCATATTCTGAGAAACTCAGGAATATCCAAACCTATGCACACGACAGAAGACAACTTTAGCATTTGCCTCACGTTATGTATACATATTCTTCTTTTAGATTGCAAATGGTATCATATAATCCTGGCTGTCGCAGGCCGTGTACTCTTATGTGGCTGCTTACCGACCATGACGGATCCCAGATTCCTAGGCAAATCAGTCCCAAGTAAGCAGCTGGAGTTACTGAATTGTGCCGCTGGCAACTATATAAGAATTTTAAATTCCAGAGGGACATGACTCGAATCAGCTGGAGTTACTACATTCCCTGGATAATGTTCATGAACATAACCGAAGCTGTGACAAGAACTAAAGGAAACTGTTTGAAATAACTAAGGCTTGTATACCTAATTATAGTGTAAGAACAGAATGCGCCTAACATTTACTTGATTCAACATTTGCATATGTGATTATAACGTACCGGTTGTTAAGTTATTAGGTAAGGAACCATCAGATCTGTTAGGTTTTTTTTTCCTAATCGTGTATGTACACAATAGTACTCACGAAAGCTCTGTTTTATCTGATTTTCTGCAAGTTTCAGTCATGAATGATTACTGAAGAATCATGTTTCAATCCTTAATGATTAGTACTACTGATTTGTTGTTTTATTAGATCTCTTTAGTTTACTTCGTGCAAGCAAAATACTAAGAATTTTCCTTATTCATACTTCTGCAATGTATTGCAGTTGGGGTTCTTCCATTCTGCAAACTGCTCAGTGCCCAGAACAACTCCAAATAAAATAGGATGGTGACATTAGAGACAAGGCTACAATTAGTCCTGTGTACTTCACATGCAGCGTTCTTCCATTCTCCAAGGTTACTCCATCAAAGTAAGCTATCATCTCAGAAATTCAAATTTGTTATCAGATCCCAAGTTGCTAATATTTGGATATTTCCAAGTTTGGTACTCACTTTTCAGCATTCTTTGCTGTCATACAATGGAGTTAAGAAAATCTCCATGGGTGTTATTTGTTTAATCTTGGGGGGAATCAGAGTTATTTGTGTACTATAGTATTATGATTGTGTAGTGGGTGAAGTTTAAATTTCTTTACATTTTTAAGTTCCGCCATACAGTAAAGAATGTTGAAAAATGTGTACTTCAGAAGACAAATTTTTAGCACCTGCAGAATCTCGGGAACTTATAATGACCGGGGGCCATTAGAGTCTGCATTCTCCTTTTAGTTAATGATGAGACGGCATCGTATGGTCCTAGCTGAAAGATGGACCATGTACTTGGTAGTGGCCACTCATCTGCCATAGTCTGAGGCGAACCAGGCCTGGAACAGTGTCCCAAGTTCAGATGGAATCGCCGAATTGTGCCTGCGTTGCTACCAGGAATCTCCAATCCACGACTCATGAGAAAATTCCTCAGTTGCCACTGAAAATTATAACCATCCCTTCATTGCTATTGAAAAAATGATCTTCCCTTCATTGCCATTGATTTATGCTTTCCTTTCCCTTGGATGCTATTCCGTCAATTTCATGCGTAACGACGTTTGGAGGAGCTTTGCTGTGCCTCTCGGATCTAAGTGTGCGTGGCATGATGGATCATGGATGGGATGGGGGTTGAGTGCCTGGGCAGCCGCAGCGGTGGCGCAGCACTTCTGGAGAGGGCGGCCGTCGGCAGGCACGCCGCAGCGCTGCCGCCAAGTCAAACCGCGACCGCACCTGCGGCCGCACGCGCTGCCACGCAGGGCGGCTCGCAGCGCTGGGGCCGTGGCTGGTCATGTCCATGCGCTCTGCGAGCTCGGGTACTGACTCCAGGATGGCTATGGCGTGCGGCGGGACCTCGTCGAGGGCCACCGCCTCCTGGTCACCGCGCTCGCGGCGCTGGCTCTCGCCGCCGCCATGGTCGCCGTCGGCGTCGAAGGACTCCTGCTCCTGCCGGACTTCGGGTGGAGCGTCCCCGGAAGCTGCTTCTTCCTTCCAGGCCCAAGATCCAGATGCTGATCGACTTGCTTTGATGGAGAGACGGCCGGCGACCGGAGAACGCGGAGATGAGAAAGCTCGCGGCACGCATCGTGGCGCATCTCGCCGGCGACCGGAGAACGCGGAGATGAGAAAGCTCGCGGCACGCATCGTGGCGCATCTCCACCTGCCCCAGTTCCCTGGTGCCATCCAGTGCGTATCTTACCTTCTGCAGGACGAGACCACGCTGGCGTACAGCGACCAACAAGGGCTCACCCAGGGCCGGCTCTATAGATTTAAGGCCCTTGAACAATAGGAAAGCAAGGGCCCTTTAGGCCTTTTTTTTTCCACTTCTAACATGAGAAATCATATACTAGTGCTAGTATGAGATAAATGGGAGAATGTATATAGTTCATAAAACACAATGTTTATACAATAGAAGTAACTAAAAGAAAGATAAAATAACTAATATGATTACCTCAAATAAGAAAATAATGCTTTAGGTCTTGCTGAAAAAATGTAAAGCACCCCTTTGTGATTCAATGAACTCATCCTGCCGTTTCCTTTTTTTTTCTTTTCTCCGCACCTGACAAATGCTTCTTAGGCAACATTTGTAGACCTAAAATTATGACGGAAAGTAATTACATAGGATTAGAATTTACAAATTAGAGATATATAGATAAAAAATTCAGAGATAGATAGATAAAAAATTCAGAATTTAGATCATGGCCTAACGTATCAGAATTCAGATCATGTATTACCTGTATGCGTATGCGGCAATTCAGGCAGAGGGCGGAGTGGCCGACGCCCATGGCAGCGACGCCGTCGACGCGGTGGCGGCGCTGAGTGCAAGACTGCAATCTGCAAGTCTGCTAGGAGAGGGTTTGAGGGCGAGTCAGCTGTCGGCGAGAACGCGATTACACGAAGACGCGGCTGCGAGTCTACACGGCGCGACGTTTCGGTGCTCAGACTTCAATACACACTCCTTTTCCCATGGGCTTAGACGTGTGGGCCAAAAAAATATATACAATATAGTAATACATATATACTAATATACATGAACTTTTTTGGGCCCCTAACGGCTTGGGCCCTTGGCCGTCGCTCCGGCCGCCTAGGCTCAGAGCCGGGCCTGGGCTCACCCATCGTCCACAAAGGAGAAACATGCCATGGTCCTTCTACTCGAAAAGAGAGAAGCGCGTCGCCGGAAAAAGGACATGAAGAGACGAGATGCGGACAGCGCGAGATGCGGGGCGGCGGCGGCACGAGTTCGATCGGCGCATGATATGGCCACATCTCCAGCACACGCGCTCGACGACTAGCTCGCTCTTTCTTCTACATGCGCATGTGTGCGAGCGATTCGCCCGTCAGTGAGCAAGGGACGCACGCGGGGACACGTCATGGCGCTAATTCGTGCTGTGCCGCCGGAGTTGATTTGCCCGGGCCGCCGATGCGTCGCAGACTCGCGATGTGTCGCTGGCGCCGATTCACAGGACTAGGCAGTATGTGCGACTGATTCATACCGTGACCATGAAATTGACGGAATGGCAGCCAAGTGAAAGGAAAACATAAATCAATGGCAATGAAAGGAAGATCATTTTTTCAATGGCAATGAAGGGATGGTTATAATTTTCAGTAGCAACCAGGGAATTTTCTCCATTAACATAGTGTTTGCCGGCGCAGTCAGCAGATGTTCTACATCCCTTCTACAGAAGGCAAATGGCCGCATTCTGGA